TGTTACATCGCCATCGGCCTGTTTGGACTATTGACCTTACTACTGGGCACTGGACTTTCCTGAGTGGCCCCAGAGGACTGGGGGCCAGGGGAAAGACTGTTATTAGTCATCTTATATTGGGCTGTGGTGGGGTTCCTTTCATGGTTACAATGTTGTTCCCAATTCTAATCCTTGTCTGTCTCCCACTTACAGTCATCAATAGCCTTCTCCCTTGCCCTCCAGAATGTATCCGGGAAGTCTGGAAATGTGATGAGCCAGATGATGATTTTTACCCATGTTACAGGGCCAAAGAGTTTCAGGCTCATACCAGTCTTAAAGGAGATTGTTACACAGACCTACACATCTGCACTTGGGGGGTGGGTAGAAGATATTAGACAGGTATTACAACAAGAGATGGGTGCGGACCAGACAAAGATAACAGGCCAAAAAAGGGTGCCAGGGTCTGCTAGACATATGTTCCTGGGCTCCTTAGTGGAACCCGAAACATAGAAAGTACCGAGCATATGTCAAAACCAGCTTCGAGGCCCCAGGATACAGCTTCACAACTTCCAGATCCCCCGAGTATAGTGAGGCCAATTTCGGTGCCCCTGGATACTACTCCCTAGATAGCCAAGTTTCTCAACACCACCCTTAACGCTTTGCCCAATCACACCCAATGTTGGATTTGTCTGCCCCTGCAAAGACGAGTATACCTTAGAGTCCCTGTCCCCTCGAGTTGGAACCATCGCATCGGTTCCACTATTAACCCCAGCAAGACACACCTAGTTGGACCAGTGGCGTATAACGTCCATCTGGCTAAGATACCCGACATCACTTGTATCGTCAACCTAAAAGGAAATAAACCTGTAGGGACTCTGCCAGTCAGTCTATGTACCAACAACCAAACTCTCAACTCCAGTATACAGTGTCCGAAAGAGGGCATATTCTTCCTTTGTGGTAGCACTGCTTGCCTTTGCCTCCCAGTCAACTGGACTGGGGTCTGCACCCAGATTTTCCTAACCCCAGACATCACTGTATACACCACTCCTCAAATGGAGAAGGTTTTAAGCCCCCACTCAGGTGTCCGGGAAAAGCGAGCAGCTCCTTTTCTCATACCACTCCTCGTGGGAGGAGGCATCATAGCTGGGGTAGGGGCTGGACTTGGTGGATTAGGGACTTCGCTACATGTCCACCAAAAGCTATCTCAAGAGTTAAACGAAGACATAAAACAAGTAGCAGATTCCCTAATAACCATCCAAAACCAACTGGACTCTTTAGCAGCAGTTACCCTCCAGAACAGGCGGGCCCAGACCTCCTCACTGCAGAAAAGGGAGGGACCCGTGTATTCCTAGGAGAAGAATGTTGCTACTATGTAAACCAGTCCGGAATAGTGACAGCTAAGGTAAAAGAATTAAAAGAAAGACTTCAGAGGAGAAATAGGGAACTAGAACAAATTTGGGGGCTGAATCTGGGCCAATGGACTTCATGGCTACTGCCCCTGGCAGGACCTTTAATGAATATTTTTCTCCTTGTCACTATAGGTCCATGCCTACTAAGCGCAATTATAAAATTCATAGAAACAACTTTAACCCAAAAAACAACAGCTCATATAATGGTCTTATGAGGCTATTCCCCATTAAAGGATGATGCCCTATAATAGACACATGAGGATGAATGCCTCATTATATAAATA